AAGTTGATGTATTTCCTCAGCAACCAGCACGGATCAGCTCCAGGCATGACGAAGCAGATATCGTCCTCTTTTGGAAGACCAAACAAAGTAGTTTCGCTTTCACAACGAAACACACAGCGTCTTCACGACATGGCGGCAACAACAAAACTACAGCGAGACTAAAAGTTATGCCTTCTTTCTTTGCGTGAACATTTGGGTGGCGTTATGCAAATCTTCCCACATAGTGATGTAGACATGTGGGGGCGTGTTAGAATGAGCCGTTTTAGGTAGGCGTGGTTGACTCTTAACTTTTATAAAGAATATCTCTTTGGATTTGAGACTTTAGTCTTTGCAACTTTACAGATCTTCTTTATGCACCAAGAGCTTGTAACACTCCAAAGAGAGAGGAAAAATTGAAATCGCATCATATGACCCCTTTAATGGTTTGTTAATAGCGAGAATTGGACCTTAAAATAAATTGTGACCAAAATATGAAACAAATTCTTGAGAACGTAGACCAGTGAAACTGTATAGGCATTTCTGCATATTCTACAAAGGCATTTTCTCAGTTGGCAGCCCTAATCATGGAGCAGGACAGCAGTAATTTTGTGTGCGCCCCAGAATGACTGTCCCATCTGCACTGCCGGGATAACATACTGTAGCTGTATGTCTGATGCCTTCTGTCAAAAGAGAGCAATCTAAGAGGTGCTTTAGACTGAGACTGACATCTTCACATCCGTTGGTGTGAGTATTTATGTAAAACAGAGGTAGGCATGCAGTGTTCAGTGTGTGTCAGGAGGTGACACTGATTCACCTTCAGCGTGCTTTAATCATCACAAGCCTCGACTTGAGTCAGCAAGGCAGAACACACAAATATGCACTCTAGCTGACAAACCGCTAGCGCTCTCATTCTTAGCTGACTGCTCACTTCAACAGAGGCCACTTTCTGCCAGAACGGTGTTTTCCTGTAACCTTGTGGAAATGACTCAAGCACACAGTGCAGGTTAGCTTGGGAGCAAACAGGGTTGCGGCAGCGTCTGAAGGCTCGGATCAGAATATTAGACTACTTTTAGCATTAGTGGAGGTGTGGGGGCGGGTAAGGCTAGTGTGAGGGAATAACAGGACACAATGTGATATGAAGAACTGTAGGTACTACACCCTTCTCTCAGTGTTTGGCCTTGATCTAACAATGCTATTGACCCAGTTTTCCACACTAATCCATCATGAACTGATAAAGTAACCCCAGTGCTCTCTGAGTATTCCTACAATAACACCTTGTATTCCAATGGCAACACTTCTTCTTTCAATCTATTGCTATTTCCTATTATTGCCTTAAAGTCACCATGAAATTAAAATGGAAAATTCTTATTTTTTAATGGAATATTGTAATGTTTATTATAAATAATTTATCCGTGCACTTCATTATTTTTTTTTTAATTCATGTGCCCTCGTAATCTTTAATCAAAAACGTTAACCTCTCCTCCCCCTCAAAACGCCTCATCTTCTCTTCCGGTCACGAGCTATGGCGCAAGGGCGGAGCTAGTGACTGAGGGGTAAACGCTGGGATAAACAACAGGGGGGAAAGCTGAAACTGATGCTTCACTTTATAGAAATCAATGCATTGACCAGTGCTGACGCAAGCCATGGGGGAGTACACTACCCTTAAAATTGAAAGGATATTAGGATATTACCACAACATTACTCTTAGGACATCGCAAACTATTTTTTTATGAATATGACTTAGCCTGATGGAGGACGTGCTCAGTCATTCAGGCAATCTCTCTCTCTCTCTCTCTCTCTCTCTCGCGCGTGTGCGCTGTAAGGTATGTTTTGTGCCGTTGATCGTCCTCGTCGTCATCTTCCTCAATAAATTAAACATTTCTTCATGCTAGGGTGTCGGCGGTGAATCCAGTGGAGAGAAATCCCCCCACAACTAACTGCAAACT